TTGGGTGAAATCCTTCCATTCCCCGCGTTCTAAGATTGTACAGCATCGGTCATGCTAGAATTCTAAATTGGAAAGATCCTTCTGGCTGGAAGTGAAATGCCACTTGACATTTCTCTAGCCATAATTCAGGGAAATGGAAAACAAATACCAAAGTAATTTAGTACAACAGGATGTTAAAGGGGCATTTTTTCCTGCTATCTCCCTGTCGGTAGAGGTTTAAGCCGTCTCAAAAAAATAATTGATGGATTGAGAGATTTAAAAAAAAAAGCATTTCTACCTTTCAAACTAAGGTGAAAAACTTGTATACAGGCCATTTTGCCAACAAGGTAGCTTAGAAACTGGCCTTGTGATGCTTAGGCCAACTTGCCCTCTAAGGCATAAACAAGGGTGTAGAAACTACAGGAAGATTAGGGCAGAAAGAGTCTTAGGTGTACACTGAGTCCCACTTCCATGGAGGGCAGGGAAGACGTCTCTCCCCCCTTCCTGCCTCATTCACATACAACAAAGAGTTTAATGTATCCCCTTTAGTGTAACCATAGGGGGATGCAATGGACCAGTGTCTCATAACTAAAAAAAGCTACAGGCAAAAATCTGTAACCAGAGCTCCCCGATTAGGCAGGGAGCTAGGGAGCAGCAGTGGAGGGCTGAGTGTGGCCACAAGTGTGTGAGTTTCATACAGACTGAGCAGAAGTTAAACCAGGAAACCAGGAGCTATGCAAGAGAGAGGCCGGGTTCACACAGGACTACAACAGAAAACCACCATGAGATGCTCCGTCACGAGCATCAGCTCAGGGTGTGAGCCCTTAGAGACTAGCCAAAGGGAGCTTTGGCTTGGGCTGTGCAGTGTAGAGGTCCCTGACTGCTGTCATCAAAAAACCTTCAATGCTGCCCCACTAAAAAAAAAAGAGAAAGTGAGTAAGCTTGACTCATCTGTCAAGCCCAGAGAACAGCTGTGCCAGCCTTTTCTTTCTCTTTTCCTCTCTCCTACTTCCCATCCACGATAAATTGGAAACTGCGATTTGTGAGCTAGAGGGAAGAGAAGAAGACAGCTCTCTTCCCAGGGTGTCACCGGCTCCTGATATAAAAGGTCCGATAGCATCAAAGTGGAGCACGGAGCACGGCGGGGATTTGATAGAAGGACTGTTGTCTTCTCAGTTCTGAGCAATCCCTATTTCTTTCCTTACTTAGAAAAGATACTAAATCAAAAGTATCAGAATATTTGTATTAATCTTTAAGTAGTGGGTTTAAACATCTCACTCTATAAGAATTCTGCGTGCTAGTTGTATATGCATATCAGAAGGTGCACTGCACTGCTTCTTACAAACAGTTAATAGCTTTTTGCTGAATAATTAATAACCTTCTAAGATAGAAAATATCAGATGAGAAACACTACGAACGTTTTGAGATCTGCACATGTAATTTTCTACTGTGGGGAGCAGGAGTTAGGGTTAGGGTTATAATCACACAGGCCAGGTCGGGACTGTGGGGGGATGAGTGTCAAGTGCAACCTCTGTGGACTGCAGGGGCTGAGTGGTGATGGTGGCCGTGGAGGCAGACAGGTCGTCACAGAGCAAGCTGGTCCCCTACAGTTCTGTCCTTGGCCACCATTCTTGAAGTTTCCCCCCAAAATTCTGCGGCAGTATGTTGTATACACTAAGCAGTGACAGTTCTTTGTTCCTTCGGAGGAACAGTGGAGACCTGACTGCTTTTGGAAAAGAAAGTTGCAACCATTTTCTTTCCAACATTCTTGAACCACTTCACTTTTGTTGCTGGGTTTTCACGGGGAAAAATAATGACACTGTCAACTGACGCTTGTTCTCTGGATCAAACTGGTAAATCCATTTCCCCACCAGTAATGGCGTCAGAAATGCATCTACATTTGCCTGCATAGAATCTGACCAGCATGTCTTCACACCGTTCAACACAGAACACTTCTGCTCATCTGTCAAAGTGTGAGGCTCCATCGAGATGAAACTTTCCTGGCTCCATGAGAACCCTGCAGCGTTCTGGACCCTGCTGGAGAATTAGTATGTGGTTCCCGTCAGTGTCATTAAATGCCACTCAGTTGTTTTCATGAGCAATACTCTCCACAGGGGCTGCCAGATATCTGCTTCTCTCCTTGCCTCTCAGTGAAGTTCAGCCTCTTCTAAATTCTTAAAACCACTGAAAAGTTGTCACATGGTAAGGAGTACGGGCCCCTAAAGCCCATTGCAATTGCTCAGGCTTTGAGACTCCTTTAATCTACTCTTCAAATCATAGACAATCACAGCTGAAAGTTCTCTCCCAAGATCCATAGCTGTTACTAGTAAAGCCCTCCCAGCAACACCCATGGCCAAGCACATTGAAACTTCCACGGGTGAATCAGAAAGGACACTGCTGCCGACTGTATTTCTTGGAAGTGAAATAATGGACAATAACAGACCATCTGAAAACTTTCCCAGTGACCTTCAGAGCTTTACTGGTGAATTCTACCAAATATTTAAGAAACAAATGACACCAACTCTCTACAATCTGTCCCAGAATATAGAAGCAAGGAACACTTTGTAACGGATTCTATGATGCCAAATTAGACAAAAATATTTCAATAAAGAGAAGCTACAGATCAATGTCTCATAAACACAGATGCAAAAATCTCAGCAAAACATTAGGAAATCCAACCCAACAATGCATAAAAATAAGATCCTGTGACAAGTGGGATTTATGCCAAGTACACAGCATGGCTCAGCATTCAAAAGTCAATTAATATAATCCATCACATTGACAGGATACAGAAGAAAAATCACTCGATCACACCAATAGATGCAGGAAAAGCATTTGACTAAATCCAATAGCCATTCACGACAATTCTCAGGAAACTAGGAATAGAGGTGAACTTCTGCAACTTGATAAAGAACATCTGTGAAAGGCTTACGGCTAACAACATGTTTAATGAAGAGAAACTAGATGTGTTTTTCCCCCTAAGACTGGAAACAAGGAGTTCCAGTCTCACAGAGGCTCTCTCACTGCTGTAATTCAACATCATACTGTAATCCTAGCTGGTGCAATAAAGGAGGGGAGAGGAAGGGAGGGGAGGGGAGGGGAGGGAAGGGGAAAAGAAGAGAAGAGAAAACAAAAGCAAAGAAAAAGGATATAGATTGGGATGAAAGAAATGAAACAGTATTTACTAGGAGATGACATGAATGTCTATGAGGAAAATCTCAAATAATCAACAACCCCCTGAACAAATGATCAATTATAATAAAGTTACAGGATACAGAATTCATATGCAAAAGTCAATTGCTTTCTATGTATTAGTAATGAACAGTTGATATTTGAAATTTAAAAATATACTATTTACCTTAGCACCAAAAAAATTAAAGTAGGTATAATCTAACAAAAGATGAATGACATCTACCTGCGATAAAGTACAAAGTTCTAATAAAAGAACCTTTTCTTTAATCTGAAAAAATTAAGAAATGATTCTTATTTATAGATAGGAAGACTCAGTTACAATGTGAGTTTTCCTAATCTGATCTGAAATTCAAGCCAATCTCAACCACAATGCCAGCAAGTTACTTTGTAGATACCAATAAGTGGACTAGAGTTTACATGAATATAAATATTCAGTCAGCAGAATATTGAAGAACAGAGTCAGAGGATGATCAAACTTTAGGTGACATCAAGACCTTCTGTCAAGCTCCTTTAACCCTGACGGTGAGGCTCTGGTGAAGGAATTCTCAGACAGGTTCACAGACTAGAAGAGAGAGCCCAGAAAAAGGTCCACACCAACACAATCAGCTGGTGATTCACGTTGCATTATGTGCCCAAACCTGGAAGCCATGGAGACGCTCCTCCAGAAAGATGGAAAAATAAATTGTGATCCCTCCACACAGTGGACTATTACGAGGCAATGAAACGAAATGAACTCTGAAGTCAGGGACAAACATGGAGGAATCTCACACATATACCACAGTCTGAAAGAAGCTAATCTGAAAAGCCTGCACACCACGTGACTCAAGCTGCTATGACCAGCAAAGCTCTGAAGACAGCAAAGAAATCAGCAATTACCTGGATTCAGGGAGACATGGGGCGAATGGATATGTGGGACACAGGCCACTTTTTACAGCACTCACACTATCCTGTTTTGAGAACATAAGAATGGATACGTGGCATTTTGCTTTGGTTAAAACCCATGGAACGATACCACACACAGAATGAATCTTCATGTAAACCATGGACTTAAAAGTACCCACATTGGCTCATCAACTATAACAAATGTACCATACTAATCCAAGACATTGTGTGGGGGGCAGTGTGGGGGTTAAATGTCTGTATTTTCTGTATAATTTTTCTGTAAACCTAAAAAAGAAGGTTGTATATATGTATGGTAAGAAAAATCCAAGTTATATCAAAGAAAATAGAGTAAATCTTCTTCTTTAATGAAAACAGTGGTTTAGTAGAGAAGGTCAGCTTACGAAAGTGTGGGTCAGCAAAGTGTAGGGGCCAAAGAAACAGGGAAGCTGCCCGACATTAGAGACAGAGTGGAATGAAGTGTGGGCCCTGGAAGAGGGAGGAAGAGGGGGGTGAGGAAAAGAAACGTCTGAGCAACGTACAGAGGTTAGAAGGAAGCCTGGAGCGTGATGTCTAAGGTCAAAGTTGAGATCTTTGAACTACTGTCACATAAAATCCTACGCACTTTACCAAAACCAGGAGTAAAATCTGACGCACATTCTGAGATGGATACATAGGTACATACATTGTTTCTGAGGAGAGGAGCTAATTTACACAATCGTATTTAGGATGGAATAGAAATAAAAGACTACATGACCATGGAATCCAAAACAAGAACTCAATGGAGGCAAGAAATAGGAATCAAGTGTAGCCCTGAGACTAGAGAATGCCTCTCCCCACACGCACATACCAATCGCAAAAACTTTAGAGAAATGTGAGACAGTCATTGGAGATTTCACAGACCGTGACGATCTTACCTAAGTCTTATCTGAACTTCAGTTGACACTTACATGTGCACTGAGTCATCTTTGTCTTTCTCGAGTAGAAAATTTTCTGTTGAGTCTAAGCATGATTCTTCCTTAGACAATAAAGGAATTTCCTCTTGAATCTTACTTTCCATTAAATTAGGATCTCTTTTAGGAAGGGAAAGATGGTTTTCAATATGCCAGTGCTTTGCCTGGAAAAACAAAGAACATCTATTTTAATTTTTATGAGATTTATCTTCTTCAAATATTGATGTGTCTCAACCAGGTATAGGTTACTAACCGCGGTGCTGGGGCAGCCCAGGAGAGGGAAAGATGTGATTCCTGCGCACAGGAGATGACAGTCTTGTAGGGGAGATGAAACAAATTTACGCAACTTTAGTCAAGGTAGAAAACTAGATGACTCACAAGAATGAAATGATTTCCTGAACATATAATGATAAACTATTAAAATGTTTTTGCCATTCCCACTACAAACATCCTGAATACCAAGATATATATTTAATAAAAACAAAAGAAAACTTCTGTTAAAGAGCTACCACAATTAATTTTTCTGCAATTACTCTCTTTGCATCTCACTTCTTAAAAAAAGTCAAAAGCCAGTTTCAGTGTTACATCCCCCCCAGAAAAAATGTATTATATGATAGTTTTCACACATTTAGGCTATAATTTCTAGCCAGCATTCAGCTAACAAAACTCTCCAGTGACAATCTATTTTATGTTTTAAACACAGAACTGATTTCCTCGCCTTATATTAATTCACATCATGCACACAAAAATGTACCAGTGAGCACAACTTCTGTGATACACAGGGAACATCACTGGTTTGACTTGGCTGTAAACCAACTGGGCCTGTCCTAAGTGTCTGCAAAGTAAAAATGCCCAAAGGGCCAGCCAAATGTCTGTGAATGAATGGAAGGTCAGATACAATTATAAATGGGTGAGAAATCGCAGATTTCATTGAGACTCGGTATCCACAGGCAACAGAAGAAAGTGGGGACCACAGTGAATTAGGGAGAACCTATTTTACCTTAAAGGAGGGGGCCACACATATTCCAGGGAATGACATGTGCTATTTTTCAAGAGAAGCAAGAAACCTGGATTTTTATACGCAATCTCTTAATGTCTAAGTTTGGGTGACTAAATACAACTTTCAACACTAGATGAATAGGCAGAGTCCCAGTCACTGGCCTTCAACCAGGTTAGGTAAGGAGTGTTGCCAGTCCACAAGGGGCCCAGGACAGCAGGAGTGAGTGTGGAGGAGGCCCTGAAGGTGCAGGCATCAGCTAATGGCCAGCACAGCAGGAGTGAGTGTATACAGGAGGCCCTGAAGGTGCAGGCATCAGCTAATGTCCCATCCCACAGGCACCTGACAGAAACTTCCCGGGATATACATATATTCACAAATCAGTCATCTTCACCCCCATTACTCCAACTCTAGAAACAAACACACCACACCACTTACATTTAAAATCTAACTTGAAAACCAGCCTTCGACCAACAGCTATGTTATAAAGTAATTCAAAATTATTTTTTAAAAAACTTTTTACATGAAGTCTATGGAAACGTACTGCACTAAATTTTAAATACATCCTTTAGATTGCATGTGATTGAAAAATTAAGTCCTGGCCAGGTTCAGCGGCTTGGGCCTGTGGTCCTAGGACTCTGAAAGGCCAAAGCAGGTGGATTGCCTGAGCTCAGGAGTTCTAGACCAGCCTGAGTAAGAGTGAGACACCGTTTCTACTAAAAACAGAAAAGAAAAACTATCTGGGCATTGTGGTGGGCACTTGTAGTCCCAGCTACTAGGGAGGCTGAGGCAAGAGGATCACTTGAACTCAGGAGTTTAAGGTTGCTGTGAGCTCTGATAGGAAGGCACTCTACCCAGGGCAACACAGTGAGACTCTGTCTCAAAAAAAAAGAAGAATAAAAAAAGAAAGGAAAAGAAGAGAAAAGAAAGGAAAACTAAATCTTAATGTAGGAATTAAAATGTGGCACAGCTTCTTCTTTTCTTTGTATAAATGCTAGACTAGTATCAGTTCAATTGAAAGACAAACGCAACATCCAAATGTAGGGTAGAAGTCACTACATTGTAGAAATAAAATCTGTTTGGGAAAAGTGTTTTGATCTGAGTTATATTTACTAATTGAGCCGTTTCTCCTCCTCATCTCTGTATTCCATCTGCCTTCCGTAATGTTCTGTTCTTTCTATAAAAGGTATCGCTTCCTGAGGACGTCCACTGTTCTCCAGTACCCGCTAATTTATTCCCTCCCTCTCCCTCAGGCTCCCCTTTCCTCATATGCCCTCCCTGCCAAGCCCTTCTCCTCCCTCTTCTCTGTCCTGCATACCCTGGAAATCACATTCGAGACAGCTAATAAAAGTGAATCATTAAAAAAAAACAAAGGAAGAAGAAAAATTCAAGCAGAAGAGACTACAAACCCAACCGTCCCCAGATTTGCCAACCTTTACTTTTTAAAACTGACCCAGCCCTGGTGTCTCTTCTCCTGTCTTAAACAGAAGGAAAAATATAAAACTATTTTAATGCAGGCTTCCAGGGGCTGAAGACTGTCAAAAAAAAAAAAAAAAGATGCTATAGAAAACCTCACAAAGGCATAAAAATGAACACTTTTACTAGCACACATGTCTTAATTAAAATGAAGTTTAGGAGATGGGCGGAGCAAGATGGCTGAATAAAGAAGTTTCCAGGATTTTCCTCCTGCATGGCAAATAAACTCAACTACTATTCATGCCCGGAGGCACCTTTAGAAGAACCAAAAACTGGGGAGTGGGGGAGTGAGGCATCACAGTACTCAGATTTAACATTATACCAAAGAAAGAGGCAATGAAGAGGACAGAAAAGAGAGTCTTGTATTGCCTGCCCCCCCCCCCCAGTGCTGAGTGTAGAGAGAGTCTAAACGCCTAAGGGAGGGAGAGGGAAAGGTTTGACCAGCAAGGCTGCAGGGAACAGGGCACATGCAGGGCTGAGCTCTGGGGCACCCACAGAGGAGCTCTGAGAACACACGAGCTGACATCCTCCTCCCAGAGACAGAAACCTGAGTTCTGGCTATGCCCATCCCAGCTGACAAAAAGCAGCCTGGAACCTAGAACAGATTCATAAGGCAGGCAGGACAAAAAGCCTGCAGTCCTTGGGCAATCTCTGTAGCTGTGCTGACTTGAAGCCAGCGGGCTTGGGAAGATGTGACCCAGGGAAACCCCAGCAGCTGCAGTGAAGCCAGCCCTGCACCCCTCCCCACCCCCAACCAGCTCAGGGGAGTGTCCTTCCACCTGGGGAAAGGAAGACAGGGATTCCAAGGACTGTGTTTTGATACTAGAGGTCCAACTCAGTCAGAGTAAAACAAAATACCAAGCAGACACCCAAAGACCCTGATTCTCAGCCTCAGTTCCTGGATGACATTTCTAGACCCTCTCCTTGGTGGGAAGAAACCTGCTTCCCTGAAGGGAAGAACCCAGGCCTGGAAAGATCCACCACCTGCTGATTAAAGAACTCTTACGTGTGAATAAGCCTGAGAGGTATCAAGGCAGCAGTGACCATCGATTTTGGATGAGACTGGGCTGGCTTCAGGTATGACCTGGTGTAGCTGGGGTGGTCCTGAGGCCATATCCATGTCACTCTACCCCCAGTTCCAGCCCCCAGCACACAGAGAGTGAGGGGAGAGAGTGAGAGACTAGCCTGGTTACTCAGGGAATTCTCCTTACTCAAGTTCACGAACGTACTATCACCAGGAGTCTATAAGAGTCACAGCATTCCTGGGCTTGGAGCTACTCCCACAGCTGATACGGCTGCATGACAAAATACTCAGATCATGACACTCATTTTCTTTGAATATATGGAAAGTCTTCTCAAGAATGACAGCTTCAAACAAGCCCAGACTGCAGAATTACAATCAATACCTGACTCTTCAGCGTCCAGTTATCAGTGAAAATACACACACCTCAGGAAGACCCAGGAAAACATGATCTCACCAGACAAACTAAATAAGGCGCCTATACCAAGCCCAGAGTGTCCTTAAACAGAGGTACGTAACCAGTGAACTGAAAGTCTGCAGCTCCCTCTCCCACCAGCTGACCAAATGTACTCCCCTTTGTTCAAGGGGCCACCCTAAAATTGAGTTGCTTAGCCACAGAGGGATGTCAGACACGCCGTGTCCTGCCAGCCTCTCTTCTTAGAGACATGTCTTGGAACACATTAACAGGCCCAAGGCTATGCAAGACAAGCCTGCAACTTCTCAATATATAAAAACACAAACAACTTGAGTCTGGGTACATGACTGGGTTACATGCCTGTAAATTAACTCAGCATTCCTCTCCACTGACTCCTGGTCCTTTATATGAAGCCTAACTTTTCCAGCCAATTGTCAACTAAGGAATCTTTAAACACATCTACAACCTGTGAGCCTCCTTCTCAGAGCAAACTGATGTGTGCCTTCTGGGTATTGATGTATGACTTTGCCTGTAATTCCTGTCTCCCTGAAATGTGTAAAGTCAAAGTGTAACCTCACCACAGTGATGCTTCTTGGCTATGGCTCGGAATAAACCTCTTAAAATTATTTTACAAAGGTTGGCTTGTTTTCCATTGATAGACTCTGCAGGCAAAGAATTCAAAATAGCTGTCCTGAAGGAGCTCAGTGACAATGTAGGGAAGGAATTCAAAAGACTATCAGAGAAACTTAACAAGGAGAATTAAATTTTAAAAAATCAAGCAGAAATCCTGGGGCTTCAAATTTCAATTGGCAAACTTAATGATGCATCTCAACAGCGAAAGATGAAGCAACAGAAAGAACCGCTGAGCATGGAGACAGGCTGTTTGAAAATACACAGTCAGAAAGGAGAAAAGTAAAAAGAATTCAAAAATGAAGGATGCCTACAGAATCTAGACACAGTCTGGAAAGGGAAGATCTAAGAGCAATTGCCCTTACAGAGGAAATGGACAGAGAGGCTAGAATAAAAAGTTTATTGAGAGAAAGTATAACAGAGAAATTCCCAAACCTCAGGTAGAAGGTCATAGAAGACCAAGCAGGTTTACCCCAGACAAGACTACCTCAAGGCATTTATAATCAAGCTCCCATAGGTCATGAATAAAGAAAAGTTCCTACAGGAAAGAAGAAAAAACATACAAAAGAGCTTAAATGTCTGGCAGCAGACTTCTCAGTGGAAACCGTACAGGCCAGGAGAGAGT